AAAAAAAAAAAGGTTGAGAAGTTAGAGGGTTGACATGTTGTGGGGTTGTTAACCAATGTCATAAAACAATATGTGTACTACTGTTTCATGAGAAACTATTCTGTAAGCCTTCACCTGAAGTACAATAAAAAAATAAAAGAAAAAAAAAAGTAAGACGAAATGATTATTTTAGGGATACCAAAGCAGTTAGCCCTAGAGTTACATCAGTATAACTCACATGTTAAGTTAGGAGGCAAAGTAATCACTAAAGTGGGTAGATGTAGTAGGTGTAAGAAGTGGGGAAGGGTAAAAAAATATTATCATCTTCTCCTACATAAAAAATATGCTATTTTGAGAGTCATGCTTTTTAAATAATAATAGTTAACATTTATTGAATACTTAGTTTGAGTCTGTTCTCAGTACATTACGTGAACAGATCATTTAATTTTCAAAGCAACCGTATGAGATAGGTCCTATTATTTTCCCCATTTCACAGATGAAAAAACTGAGGCACAGAGAAACAAAGTAATTTGCCCAAGGTCACATAGCTGGTAAGTCGCAGTCCTGGGATTTCAACCTGGGCAGTCTGACTCCAGAGTCCTGCTCCTTTTACCAGTATTCCAGGTTGTATCTTAACACCTATTCAGCAAAATATTACTCTTTATTTTAGAGTTTTATTCAAAATATGCTTACACAGGTTTTCAGAAATCTAGGGGAGACTTAAGTCCTGAGTTGAAGGAGACTGATCACTAGCTATCAAAAAACAATTGAAATCAATGTACTTTCAGAGCTGAAGAAAGATACTCAACTCACCTTTGTATGATGTTTGACATTTATCCATGTAATCAAATTCAACTCAATTAACAGTGATTAACTAAACAGTGAGCACTAAAGAAGTAAGATTCAAAGCCTCGAGAAGATACCATATTCCAATCTAGAGCAGACAAAATACTCAGGAAGCATACAGTTGAAAAGAGATGAGGAAAATGAAGCCCAGAGAGTTCAAATGAACTGCTTGAGGCCAAAAAAGAAGCTGTGCACAAAGGGACCTGCAATCCAATTTGGATGGGCATAGTTTCTTTTTACTCTACCACTATGTATCCAGCAAACTGGTTGAACACACTGAAATCAGATTAACTTCTGAAATAAATATCTGTGCCCAAGAAAAGAGAAAAAATGTTTGACATTTGCCTGCTTTACTCTGGAACCCACTTCATTCTGGACTGAAATTCAGGAAAGAGAGAAGAGTACCCAAGGGAACATTGTTAAGGGGAGGGAGAAGAGGAGGCATTCACATACAGAGTCTCCCAGACCTTTTCTGAAGGAATGTGTGTTCTTTGGTTTTATTTGCTGGATATTTAATCTCTTTCAATCATGACCCAATTTTAAAAGCAGATGTTGAAATGACGTCTGCATGATAAGTGTGTGTGTAGGTGGGTGTGCCTGTCTCCAACTCGATGCTAAGGGTCTTAAGAACAGAGGACATGCCTTAAACCTCTTTCTAAGCCAAGCTTTTATGAAGTGCTTCCACATAGTGGGTGCTCAGTGAAATCTTTAAAGATGTCAAAAGTATATACACCATAAGATTTCATTAGCTTAAGTTTTCTTTTTTAAAAAGTGAGCTTATATTCAGGTCGTTTAGAGATTTCTCATTAGCTTATTTTAGTGGTTCTCATACTGGGGTAATTTTGTCCCCCCAGGGTACATCTGGCACTGTCTGGAGACACTTTTGGTTGGCACAACTTGGGAGAGGGGTGTGCTACTGGCATCTAGCAGGTAGAGGCCAGGGCCCCCCCACAAGAAAGTATTATCCAGCCAGTGGTGACGAGGTTGGGATACACTGGCTTATTTGGAAATAAAAAAAGCATGGCCATCTCTCCATTTTAAAAAACAAGTAAAATATAAATCACAATGGTATACCAAAAGATTTCTCCCAACATGACAATTTCAGCAATCTACTTTTAAGAAGATGAACATAATTATTTAATGGCCTGATTTACAGGATCAGAAAAGTTCACTAAATGTAGGAGAAAAAGCATAAATTTAATGTGTATGTACTTAAGTGACAACAGAAAGCTTTCACCAAAGAGAATTTTCTGGTCTTTACTGCATCTAAAACTGAGGTTACGCCACAACTTCCATGCAAGACACTCTGGCATTTAAAAACCACCACTGGTCTGATTCAGACAAGGAACTCTTGCTTCAGACAGTTTCACTGTTTAATTAAACAAATTATGTCTAACCTCACTCAAAATCCACCTTTTTGATTAGCACAAAAGGCGTGTGTTTTTTATTTGCAAACACGCCCATCAAAATAAACTCCTATCACTATGAGTCTCCTCCAACTCATGGTGACCCCATATGTGTCAGAGTAGCAGAGCTGTGCTCTGTAGGATTTTCAATGGCTGATTTTTTGGAACTAGATCATCAGGCATTTCTTCTGAGTCACCTTTGGGTGGACTCGAACCTCCAACCTTACCGTTAGCAGTCGAGGATGTTAACCATCTGCACCACCCAGGGCCTCCATTATCACTATTAAGCCAAAACCAAGCCCATTGTCGTCAAGTCAATTCTGACTCATAGTGACCCTACAGGACAGAGTAGAACTACCCCCATAGGGTTTCCAAGGCTGTAAATCTTCACAGAAGCAGACTGCCACATCTTTTTCCCAAGAGCGGATGGTGGGTTCGAACTGCTGATCTCTTGGTTAGCAGCTGAGTGCTTAACCACTTTGCCACCAGGGCTCCTCCTATCACTATAAACCCCTCCTTTTTATGCCTGTCCATCTTCCCCATGTCTAGGTTTATCTAGGATGCCCCTAATTTTAGCCTGATTCCTTACTGTGGCTAAAGGAATCATTCTTTCAGTTCCAGGTTGCTCTATTTGTCTTCCATCATGGAAAGACAACTGGACCAAAGCTATCCTCAGAGCCTGATAATGTCTTTGAGATGAGCAAGGAAAAGAAAGTAGGGGGCACTGCTGATTATTCTTTGGACTTAGTCCTAGTTTCCTTATATATCTCTGGTTGGTATGGTTGCATTTACTTCAGTTGTATTTGCTTGTTCATTTTCCCCAGTGGCTGATCATAGTATGTGATACTTTGGATGTCTGGAGTACCCTTGAATAAAAATTTATGTCTTTAGTGGGATAAGTTAGTTCTATTCTGGGAATCAACTGACAAGCATGTATAGACCTCAGGAGGATCTTTGAACATATCAAACTAAATAAATTTTTAAGTATTTTGTGTGTTGAGTTAAACATGTCGCTACTAAGACCCTTACCCATTGGTTAACGACTTTCTAAATATTTACCCAGATCTTTAATAAGTGAGAGTGCTTCCCAGGATATAAAGGCTCCACCGCCATCATCCATGGCACCCTGCCCAACATCCCAGCTGTCCAGATGTCCACTGACAAGTACAACCTAGAACAAATAATGAAAAGAGAAAAAAATAAAACTAAGCAGGAATGACATCAAAGAGGAAGCATTCACAGGCATTCCAAATACAGAAATGAAACTTTTATGGTTTCTTTTCTATTTTTAAGTCTTAAGAGATATGTGTCATTACGAGTGGAAAAAAAGTTTAGAGACATTACATGAGGGGGTCTGAGGTCATCCTAACAGTCATAAAAGTCCTCACCTTGTACCTCTTTCCATTAATTATGAGTACTAGAGAAAAATGGCTTATTACTGACAGATGTTTGACAACTTTATTATATGGCTTAAAACCAAAAGATATAAAAATGGAGTTCAAAACTTTAACCATATTCTGAACTGTCCCAAATTTTAGTAAACACAAAATAAGCATCTGTTGAATTGAATTCAAATGAAAAAGAACAATAATTTATTTTTTTTCAAACGGTTGTTTTGTGCATTATAAATCACTTTGGTGCTGAATAAGTAAATATGCTGGTTTACAAACTAGAGGCTAAGAGTTTGAACAGAAGAAATTTTAAGAGAGATTTCAATTTACAATGGTATAAAATAAAGCTAGGGATTATATTACGAATTTTAAATTACCATAGGTTTATTTTTTTCCAAGAGGCATTAGTAATTATCTCCAGGAAAATATAAAACATATTTCATTGAAACTAAATTTTATGGGCACATTTTCAACAAGTTAAAAACCAAGTAAAATGATGCTGGGTTAATAGGGTGTCCATATAGAAAAAAAAAGTTTGTGATCTCTATGACATACAATATATAAATATCAAGTCAGATGGATTGCAGATCTAAATAAAAATTTTAGAAAAAAGTGTAGGAGAACAGCTTTGTCAACATGGAGTAGGCAAAGCATTCCCAAACAGGGCATAAAAAGCATAAGCCATAAAAAAGTAATAAATTGGACTTTTTAAGAATTAGAATTATCTGTTCATCAAAAGGCCTCAATAACAAAGTAAAAAGGCAACCTGTAGAGGGGGAGAAAATATCATAATACATATATGCACAAAGGACTCACATCCAGTTATGTAAAGAAAACCTATGAAACAGTAAGAAAAAGTCAGTCACCTAACAGAAAAATGGGCAAAAGACTTGAACACTTTACAAAAAAAGATACACACATTACTAGTAGTCATATGAAAAGATGCTCAGCTTCATTACTATCAGGGAAATGTAAATTAAACCAGATAACAATATACATCCACCAATATGGCTAAAATAAAAAAGACAGGAAATGCCAAATACCGGTGAGGAGATCGAGCAACTAGAACTCTTAAACGTTGCTGGTATAAGTACATAAACCACTTCAGAAAACTGGCTACATCTACCAGATATGAACATATGCACACGCTGTTGTTGTTGCTGTTGTTAGGTGCCATCCAGTCAGCTCTGACTCATAGCAACCCTATGTACAACAGAACAAAACACTACCCAGTTCTACGCTGTTATCCATAAGGTTTTCACTGGCCAATTTTTTTAGAAGTAGATCATCAGGTCCTTCTTCCTAATCTGTCTTAGTCTGGAAGCTCCAGTGAAACCGGTCTACCATGGGTGACACTGCTGGTATTTGAAATACAGGTGGCATAGCCTCCAGCATCACAACAACACACAAGCCACCACAGTGCGACAAACTGACAGATGAGTGGTGGATGCAAACCCTATAACCTAGCAATTCCATTCTTCAACATATATCCAAAGAAAGTGTATGTGTATGTGTGTGTGTGTAAGCATGTGTACAGGTGTGTGCACCTTCACCAAGAGATGTACTAGAATGTTCATTACAGGCTATTCGTAATATCCTCCCCCAGTCAAAAAAAAGGGAAACCACTCAAATGGCTGTCAACAGTAGAATGAATAAATTGTGTTGTATTCATTAACGGAATGCTGCACAGCAGTAAGAATGAACAAACTCAACCAAAGGTAAAATTTGGACGAATCTCATAAAAATAATGAAGAGTGAAAGAAGTCAGATTCAAAACAATACATCATGTATGATTTTATTTATACAAAGTATAAAAACAAGCCAACAAGGAAAGTGATTACCCTTGATAAGGAGCGTTAGTGACAGGAAGGGGACACACAGTTTCTGACGTGCTGGTCATACTCTGTTTCCTGCTCTGGGTGCTGGTTACACAGGTGTGCTCAGTTTGCAAAGGGCATGTTGTTATATACTTAGGATTTGTGCACTTTCTCTGAGTATGTTACACTATTACACTATAATTACACCTCAATAAAAAGTTGCTTTAACAACAACAAGAAGTTCAATAGATTGATGTCTATGCACAGCATGTAGGAAGCAAAACAAAGCTGAATCAATCTTCCTGACGATTAAAGTAAAAATGTCTCATGACTTGGGGAAAGCAGAATTTTAAAATATCAGGCTAACCACTTGCACAACTTGATTCACTGAGCAGCTGCAGAATCTCCTGTTGACTCTGTATACAGACCTGGCCTAGTATGACTTCATCATACTCACAAACAAGCCCAGCAAATGGGACCATGTAACGGACCCAAATGGATTGTTTCTAAGGAGAAGAAAGAAGAATAAAGAAAAAACATGTTGCAATAGCAGGAAATTTTGATTCAGAAAATGGTGTAATCTCATATGGGACCAATAGCCCAATTAGTCAGTCAACTTTCTCACCACCCTCAGCATCACTTTCCTGATGAAGTTAAAGTTCCAGTGGATTAAAAGTGTCAAATTCTTTTTTTAGTGAACTCTTTGTCAGATAACATGTAAAAGTAACTAAATCAAGACAGGTACTGTTTTATAATTAAGACTTCCTTAAGAATGACTGAGGGCTCCTTTTTTTTAAAAAAAAAAAAATCATATTTCTCTATGTTTTCTTAAATATCCCCATTCTCCAATCCAGAATGGGTGGAAAAAATGGTTTTGAATGATTGGAAATTAAATCATATCCCATAGGATAAGGTCATTTGCATAGTGCTATGGAATAATAATTGCAAACCTTCTGGCCTATGAGAGCTTATTTTAATATTTGTAAATCAGAAAAAAAAATATTGAGAGCTACAATAAGATAATAGTTCTAATTTAATATCTACTGATTTAAAAACTAGGTAATGACAAAAAGCTACTTCTAATTCAATAGCATTTTTTAAACTGAAAATGGTAGTGAAGAAGAGCTCATTCAAAATGGTGTCTGGCTAGCATTTCTTAATGCAGGCTCACAAAACAATAACCCAGCAAAATATACAAACCCACTACACTACTGAAAACCCACCTTATGTTAGGGTCAGGCAGGAGTAATGATTAATTATAATACAATTTGGTCTGATTTAAGCAAATAAAACAAAACAAAAACAAACTACTCAGGCATACAGTAAACTCCAGTTTCATGAAAAGGAACCATCTTATAAAGTATAGGAAAATGCACAGTCCTTCCATTGCCTCTGTTGCTAGATGTGGAGCCCCTAGAGGAATAACATGGCCGAGACAAACACAAAAGTGGTGCCCACTTATTTACTCCTTCCTTTGTTGCTCCTGGAAGTGGGAAGAGCACTGACTGGTCCCATACCACCACTCCCAACTTCCTTTCCACCACCATCTCCTCCAATGCAAGCAAAGAGTAAAATGATTAAAACAACAGCAATAGTAATAACAGCCACCACAAAACAACTAGGAAGGCAGAACGGGAGTTGGCAGTGCACCGAAATGTAGGGTTTCTTGTCTGTGAGCTACAGGGAGTCGGGACAGACAAATGATAGGAAGAAACAGCAGTAACTGTGCGGCTGGTAACTTTCCTTCTGCATGTCCTACAGTAGCTTCAACTACCAGAGACTCAGGCCTTGGGAGCAGGAGGAAGCAGTCATCTCACTGGGGCAGAAACATACTGTGTGAAAACTCTCTAGGATGAGGTATTAGACTGGCAGTGGTACACAACCCCATGAAAAACAAATACAAACAAAAAAATAGAAGAAGAGAATAACAAAAGAAATAGAAGAGTAGGATTCCATAATATAAACATCACAATTTAGTTGAACTAAATAATACAATATTTGGCAATCCATACAAGAATGGTAAAACCATGAAAAAAACCAAAGGAATAGTAAACCAAAAATTAGGATGTTATATTAGAGAGGAGGAGATGATCAGAAGGGGCACACAGCTGGATTCTAAGGCACTGGTATTGTTCTATTTCTGAAAATGAGTGGTGAAAACAGCTGTTGTTATTCTTTAGCCTGTTCACAGATGTTAAATAAAGTATTTTGCATGTGTGCCATATTAAGCAATAGCAAGAGTTATCAAAGGCCTGCCTTAGGTATGGGGCTCAAACAGTTGTATAAATGAGTTCAACCAAACTTTAAAGGTCAGATTTACCTAATTTTATTTTAACTGTTCCAAAGCAAAGAAAAATGTACTTACAAAGCTATCATAATCTTGAAACCAAAGTCTGACAACAATAGTACCCTCCCTAAAAACCAACTAGAGATAAAAAAAAATTGTAAAGACTGAAATAATTGTGTCCAGTAGCATATTAAAGGATACTGCAATAATGGCTCAGTGGTCTCCAAATGTCCATGGTAACTAAAAGTTATCTATGCATCAGATATACTAGAAAATGGCCACTGTTGGGTCAGTTTATCTTCTTGGCATGCCTAGCTTTTAACATTCTGCATTTTAAATTGTGTGAACTGATTAGGTGTATTCTAAACCTGACCATGTTTTGTTGACCGATCGTCAGCAAAGAGAGTGCATGCTAACGTTGGCAATGGAGAATATGTCCTTGTACAAATGCTTTAGTCAACAACCACAAGATAACTACTCTGTGTTTTTGTGATGTTTTGTTTTGTAGCTACTTCATTCCCCCAGTCTTGTTTTATTTGGTGTACTTAAAGAGGTAGAGGGAGGAGTACTAGGGCAACAAAGGTCTAAAATTCATTTCCAGACACAGGAAATCCCAGTCAAATTTCCAACAACAAAAATCATTAAATGGTTGAAGCATATGACCTACAAAAAGAGA